ATGGGGACACATTGTCTCCTTGGGGACACCTCCATGGGGACACATCATCTCCATGGGGACACCTCCATGGGGACACATCATCTCCATGGGGACACTTCATCTCTGTAGGACACATCCATGGGGACACCTCCATGAGGACACATCATCTCCATGGGATAGATCCATGGGGACACATCACACCCATGGGGACACCTCATCTCCATGGGGACATCATCTTCTTGGGACCCATCCTCTCCATAGGGACACATTGTCTCCTTGGGGACACCTCCATGGGGACACATCACACCCATGGGGACACCTCATCTCCTTGGGGACACCGGGATGGGGACTGATAATGTCCATGGGGACACATTGTGTCCATGGGGACACCTCACCTCCATGGGGACACCTCACCTCTGTGGGGACATCTCATCTCCATGGGGACACCTGAGTGGGGACACCTGAGTGGGGGCACCTCACCTCCATGGGGACATCTCATCCTTTGGGGATATCTCATCTCCATAGGGACACCAACATGGGGACAGATAATGTCCATGGGGACACTTCATCTCTGTGGAGACGTCTTATCTCCATGAGGACGCACCCATGGGGACACATCTTCTTCTTGGGGACATCTCACCTCCATGGGGACATCTCACCTCCATGGGGACACTTCATCTCCGTGGGGATATCTCATCTCCATGGAGACGCCTCACCTCCATGGGGACATCTCATCCTTTGGGGACATCTCACCTCCATGGGGACACCTGAGTGGGGACACCTCACCTCCATGGGGACAACTCTGCTGGGAGCTTCACAGCCCCCTCTACCAGATGTGGGGTCCCCCCATACCCAGCCCAGACCCTCCAGGAGAGCTCGGGTTGCTCTGTGCCCCCGGGGGCTTCAGGTTTTGGGGTGTCCCATATGCCCAAGGTGCAGCTCAAAACCCCCAATCACCAGATTTGGGGTCCTCCATGCTCTGGGTGCTTCACTTCTTGGGGTGTCCTCTCTCTGGGTGCTTCACTTTTTGGGGTGTCCCTCTTGCCCTTGTCCTTGCGCCCCCCCAGGGATGACGTGCCAGGTGTGCCGCTCATACCTGGGGACAAGGCGCACCCCCAAGGGGTTGGGGGGGCTTCAGGTATTGGGGTACCCCAAGCCCTGTGGGTTTCACAGACCCCTCCAACCAGATTTGGGGTGCTCCATTTCCTGGATTCTTCGGGTATCGGGGTTTGAGTGATTCGGGTATTGGGGTGCCCCTATTGGGGACACCCCTGAGCCCCCGCGCCCCCCCAGGGATGACGTGCCAGGCTCGCAGCTCGTACCTGGCGGACGAGGTGTTGTGGGGCCACCGCTTCACGCCGCTGCTCAGCCTCGAGGAGGGCTTCTACGAGGTGGACTACGGTGGCTTCCACCACACCGTGCCCGTGCCCACCCCGGCCTGCAGCGCCCGCCAGCTCGCCGCCGCCGCCGCCCGCCGCGATGCCCACCTCTACTGGTCCATCCCCAGCCGCCTGGATGAGGCGGCGGCGGCGGGGGAAGAGGGGGACCCCGAAATGTCCCCCCGCGAAAGCAACGGGACCTTGGCCAGCCCCGAGTCGCGGTGATGCCACCAAAATCTGGGCGCGTGGAATAGAAATTCCGCTTCCCTTCCGCCCGTTGTGGTGGTGGTGGTGGGTTTGGGGGTGTCCCCTGGGTTTTTTGGGGTGTCCCTTGGGCTCGTGGGGGGAAAAGGGGACCTCAAAATCTCTCAGGAGAGCAACGGGGCCCTGGCCGTCCCCGAGTTGTGGTGATGCCACCAAAATCTGGGTATATGTAATAAAAATCCCTCCCCGCCCCCGTTCTAATGGTGGTGGTGGGTTCGGGGTGTCCCTGGGTCTGTGGGGGCGAGGGGGACCCCAAAACCTCTCAGGAGAGCAGCGGGACCTTGGCCAGCCTCGAGTGGCAGTGATGGTTCCAAAACATGAACCTATTTAATAAATATCCCCCCCAGTTATGATGGCGGTGGTGGTTTTGGGGTGTGAGTGGCGGTTTTGGGGTGTCCCTGGGTTTGTGGGGGGATGGGGACCCCAAAATTCCTGGAGAGAGCAGCAGGACCTCGGCCAGCCCCAGCAGGCACCAAAATGTGGTTGTGTTGAATAAAAAAAAAAAAAATCCCCCGTTATGATGGTGGTGCTGTTTTTGGGGTGCGTGAGATGGATTTGGGGTGTCCCTGGTTTTGGGGCCTCGGGGGGG